TCCACAGTCCATTGAAACTTCAAAGTGGCAGAGGCCAACTCCTCTCCTCTCTCCTCTCTGCTTATTTTGTTTCTTTTTTTTTTTTTAAATAATCCTCACCCTAGGATATTTTTTCCATTGATTTTTTTTTTTTAGAGGGAGTGGAAGGGAGGGAGGGAGAGAGAGAGAGAGAGAGAGAGAGAGAGAGAGAGAAGGAGATGGATGTGTGTGAGAGAGAGATTGATTGATTGACTCCTGCATGTGCCCCAACCAGGGCCAGGGAAGGAACCTGCAACCCAGGTACATGCATTGACTGGGGAATTGAGCCCCTGACCTTTGGTGCACAGGCTGATGCTCTACCACTGAGCAAAACTAGTCGGGGCTCTTTTTTGTTTTGTTTTTTAATAAGAGAAAGTTCATTTAGGAAGTCACAGAGGTGGAAGAAGTGAGCAGTAGAAGAAATGGGCTCAGGAGGTGACAAGCCTGGTGGATGGGGGAGGGAGAAGGGGAAAGGCATGCGTGTACTCCTGGGAGGGAGAGCGTGCTGCTTTACTTATTTTTCTAACATTTACCTCTTTTTTTAAAAATATATTTTATTGATTTTTTACAGAGAGGAAGGGAGAGGGATAGAGTTAGAAACATCGATGACATCGATCAGCTGCCTCCTCCACACTCCCCACTGGGGATGTGCCCACAACCAAGGTACATGCCCTTGACCCGAATCGAACCTGGGACCCTTGAGTCCGCAGGCCGATGCTCTCTGTCCACTGAGCCAAACCGGTTAGGGCACATTTACCTCTTTTTAAATTTTTTTTGCACTTATCTCCTTTTAATCCACTACATATTTTATATATTAGTTTTATGTATTGTCCTCTCTGCCCTCTAGAATGTAAGCTTCAAAAAAGCAAGGATTTGGGTCTTTTTTGTTCCTGCAATATCCCAGGTATCAAGGCTAACCTAGAGAGCCTGGCACATTAAGTAAATGTTGGTTGAATGAATGAATGTAGAGTTGGGTGGATGCCCTTGTCCAGAGCCAAAATTAGCTTCCTACTGATACCGTTGTGATTTAACCCAGTTATTAATTAACAGGAAAGAAGCAAAGGGAAGTCCAAATAATATAGGCATGCCCTTTCTGCAGCTTTGCCTGGAAGCTGCAGTGCAGCCCTCCCCAGATCTATTCCCCACAAGCAGAGAGCTGGGGGAAGGGACTGGACACAGGGAAGATGGATGCATGCCCAGTAAAGTCTGGGTGACAGGGAGGGTGCTTATCTGTCAGTCACACCTGGGAACAGGTCATTAGCCAGAGTAGGTGTGGCCACTGCCAGGGTGGGAAGATTGGAGATAGTTAATCTCCTGGGCAAAGGAGGTCGCTCTCTTGGTCCACGCTCTTGTGCTTTAGTGTTTTCCGGACTCTAGAGGCTCCCCTGTATTTGCCCGCATGGCCCACAGCGATGTGGACCCCACGCAAGGGACTGATCACTACAACTAGCCTAATGCTCTCCCGGCCCCGACTCCACCCTGCGATGGAAACGGTGGACACTGGCTTTGTTTCTAACTCGACGGAGTCCCCAGCGGCACATCTTCCAGGACTGGATTAAGAGAAATGGGACTTTGAAAACCCAAGGATGTCATTCCATGAAAATAAAGCTTTCTGCCACATCTCCAGAAATACTTATTTCAGCGGCACCCAAAGAACCCCACTCCCACCAGCAAAGGAGAAAGGCAATCCACACATTTCTCCGCTAACAGGACAATGGGCAGCTATCTCCTGGAGGGCACTGCACTTCCTGCAGGAGGTGAGAGAACCATCCCTGATGACCTCTCAAAAGGACAGGGTGCCCAGTGGCATCTGGGCTATCACTCTCCCAGGTGTACCCATTGACTAGAGAAAGGAATGTGGTTACAGTTGTAAACCTGGTCATTGCACCTAACACAATGTTTATCTTATCTGTCGGCTTCTTGGAGCCACTGTTACTACTGATAGACTAATTACTGTGGTGCTTTCACTTTCCTATACATTAATTTGTAGGGCAGTGTCAAAATCTAGGTGTGTTCACAGGGTTGTGTCAAGCTCAAGATAGTCATACCATGCATGGTATCTCATTGATTGAGAACTTTTGCCCCAGGTGATGAATCTAAACTCAGCAGGTAGCTTGGCCCTAACCGGGAACTTTCCTTGCCCTTAAGGCCTGCCATTCCTTCTGCCCGCAGTGCCCCTCCCACTTGGGAAGGCTTAGCCATTTGCTGATGAGCTCTGTGGTTGCAGCTTGCAGCACTCATTCCCTTTCTTCTGGAGGCAACGCTGATTTTCTTTTGGGAAGTCATCTACCCCCATCTTGGTCCTTGCGGTCAGGTGTGGCACATGCTCCTTGTTCTAGGGGTGTAGACACATGGCCCAGGCCTGGCACGCACACATCAGAATGAGCTTTCTCCCTAACTACAATGAATGGGACAGGAAAGCACCTCATTCAAGCGGTCCACTGAGAATTGGCTCTAAGACTTTTGAGTTACTTAACAAGAGGCGCTTTTTCTCTCTGCCTTTGATGCCAACTTCATGGAATGCAAGTCCGGAGCTGTTGGTGGCTGTTGCTGCCACCACATCACCAGGAAAGGCTGAGCCAAGAGATGGTTCCAGACACATCTGTGAGCGCCTGGGAGCAGCCCAACCTGGGGCTGCTAGACTGTGAATGCTATTGAATGTCCTTTGCTTCCCGAGCCAGTTTAGATTGGGTTGGTCACTTGCAACCCAATCCAAATTTGGAGGCTATCCTTTGAGGCCTACTCAAATGCCATCTCTTTTTTTAAAAAAAAATAAAATAAATTTTATTGATTTTTTTTACAGAGAGGAAAGGAGAGGGATAGAGAGTTAGAAACATCCATGAGAGAGAAACATCCATCAGCTGCCTCCTGCACACCCTGCACTGGGGATGTGCCCTCAACGAAGGTACATGCCCTTGACCGGAATCAAACCCAGGACCCTTGAGTCCACAGGCCGATGCTCTATCCACTGAGCCAAACTGGTCAGGGCATGTCATCTTCTTTGTGACGTGTTGGCAACCCTTCATCCCCCCCACCCCCAACCCCCGTCCCTGTCAGGAGTCAGTCTCTTGCAGGTCTGCCCCTTGGCTCCTGCACTTTCCACCCAGGGCTGCACTTCTGTGCACCAGCCTTCCAGGACAGGCCGAGGTCACAGGGAAGGGACTGTGTGTGATGCTTCCTGCCTCCCAGCTCAAAGCACTGGGCCAGGCTGAGCAGCCCTTCTCAGGAGTCAATGTTGCGGCCACTGGTCACACCTGCTCTTCTCCCTGGGAAGGGAGCTCTGCCTCCCTCCTTCGGGGGACAAGGCAAAAATTCTAATACAAGACCCCTGGCTGCCTTCTAGGGGTCCTCTCCCCTTCCTAACATTCACAAGGAGACCAATGTTGGCAAACACGTATTGCTTTATTTAGTGTTTCTCTGGATTGCAGAAGTGTCAGCAGTGGGCCGAGACCCCAGGAGGCAGAGGCAGCTGGGCAGCCCAGGCTCTCTGGGGAGGTGTGAGGGGAGCAGCAGCAGAAAGAGGTGATGCCCCTGCAGCTCCTCCCAAGGCTGGCCCCTTCCCCAGGTTCCCAGGACAGGGGGCAGCCTGGGGCACAGGAAAGGCCTCACATCCTTGAAATGGGGCCAGTTATGGTGAGCAGGGTATGTGTCATCATAAGGTATGGACTCAGGCAGAAGGGCTTCTCCTACCTGGTGGCTCCCAAGGGTGATTGCTGGTCAGGGAGCCACATGCACCCTAAGACATGAGCCTGTTTTCTGGGGCCCCTGTTCCTGGATGAGGCACTGAGAGGACAGGGCTGCGGTCCTGGTTTTGCCCCAACCTGCTGGACGAAGGAAGGCAAGTCCCTTCCCCTCTTTGGGCTACTGTCTCCTGCTGTCACACGAGGAAGCTGGACTAGCTGATCTCAGTCTCGCACATTTTGTGGTCTGAGATACCTTCCCCGACTCCAGGACAGCCTCAGGCTAGGCTGGTATTGAAAGGACATTGTTAAGGCAGGAAAAGGGGGCAGGCAAGGGTGGTCTCAGCCCCCAGAAGGATGTCGGAGCGGGCTGCAGAGGATCTAGGTGTCCACTGAGCGGGCTGCAGTGGGGAGACAGGCAGGCAGACAAGGCGCAAGGGAACGAGGAGGACAGAGGGGCCTGGGCAGAAAAAAGGGCACCAGGGCCCAGACCGCCCCACCTCTGAGCTACCTTCCCTGCCTGGCTGGAGTCAGGGAAAACACATCCAGTGTGTCTTGGGGTGGGAAATGGCTAAAAAAAAAATAGTTTCTTATAAAGCATCAAAAAATCTCAGAGAAAACCTCAGCAAAAGTTCCCTTCTCTCAAATATTTGGCATCGACAGTGGGGCTGGCGTGTCTGCCTCTGGCCCCGGCTTTCCTATTGCTGTGGCCCGGCCTGGCCCACCCCTCCCTGCAGCGCCCTCAAGAGAGGGGAGAGCAGGAGGCAGGAGTTTGTGGGCTTCGAGGTGTCCCTGGGTCCCTGTCTGGAAGCTCGAGTCTTTGGTAACGGGAGGGGAAGAGAGGATAAGCAAAGCGTTGGGAGGTGGGAGGGCCCAGTGGGCACCTTCATCACCGAGAGTTCAGCCGTGGGGCCACCTGTGGGGAAGGGAGAAGCCCAAGTGTGAGCGGGAAGCAGACAGGCGCACTGGGCACTTGTCTTCATGGGTTAGGAGCATGCAGCGGCGGCCTGGTCCTGCAGACTCTGGTCCCACTCCCTAGCCGGAGTGGGCCTCCCTTCCCACCCAGCACACCCAGGCCCCCAGGTCTTCCCCCTCCCCGTGCTGCCATCTTTATGACCCTCGGCACTACAGGGCTCCAAAGGCCCCTCCCTCTGGCCCCAAATGGGCAGCAGGATGACCGGGGTGGTGTGGTACCCAAGCACTGCCAGGACGCCTTGGTCACCGGAGGTCCCACCCCAGTCCTAGGGCCACCCCAGTCCCAGGTCCCACTCACCACAGCCAGGTGACCGTTCTTGGCCTTAGTGATGAGCAGCTCTGAGCCAGGTGTGAAGTCGATAATGCCGTCCCTGCCAGGGCCCCCTGCATACGTGATGCTGGAGGGAAGGGTGTGTGTGAGGACGGCCCCAGTGTGTACACTCAGCCCCCTCCCCATGCCTACCTGCCTCACCTGCCCTGGTTGATGTTGATGTTGTTCACACGGTCAGCGCTAAAGAGCCGTCTTGAGTCAGTGTCTCAATCACATGAGTCACTCTGCAGCACCACATCCCCCTAGAGGCCCGACCAGAGGAGAGGTTAGGCTCTGCCCTGACCTACAGAACCCACCGCACCCCACCCCACCCTGCCTCCCTGTCTCCAAAGAGCACCTTCTGCTTGTTGTCCTCGCGCTGCACATGCAGCACAAAGAGGCTGTCGCTCAGGCTGCTGACGGAGATTCCTGAGGGGGAAGGGCAGAGGTTAGGGATCAAGGTCAGAGCAGGGACCCCTCTGCGCAGCCCTGGACTCTGGCTCACCGGTCAGGTTGGTGTAATCAATCCTCTGCTTGACTTTGGCATCCTCCACGATGACCACAGCGTTGGGCGTCAGTAGCAGTTGCCGGGGTCGGGGTTTGTAGCCCTTCCGGTCGTATTTCACTACAGGCACCGCGTACTGAGGACAGAAGGTGGGATGAGGGGCAGGGGAGGGGCCGAGGGGCTCCAGGGAAAACCCCCTCACCCTCTGCCCGGGCCCCGATGCCTCCATCCCCGATGTCTCACCTGGATGGGCTCAGTGCCAAGGGCCTGCAGCACTTTGGGGCTGATCTCGTCTGCACCTGCACCAGGTGGGGGAGAGTCAGAGGAGAGAGGGGACTAGGACGGTGAGGGAGGGTTTGACACTGGGAAGTCAGGGGCTCACCAAGCCGTGTGCTGATGAAGAGCCTGGGGACACTCTGTGGGTAATTGTCCTTCTTGCCCTTGAAGATCTCACTGGCCACGGCTTTCTGATGCAGCTGAGGGACGAGGGCCGGGAGGAGGGAGTCAGAGGGTGGGGCCTACCAGAGCCTCAGAAGCTGAGACAGCCTCCCTCACCCTCTTTCCAGCCCCAACAGCAGGAGGCTAAGCCCTGCCACCAACACTCCCATGAACCCCTCCTCTACCGCACCCCCGGCTCCACCAACCAAGGCAGAGAGTTCCCTAGAAGGGTCCTGACAGCAATGTCAGGGTGCAGGCCCTGGGACCCCCAATATTTAGCTTCAACATGGGATCTTGAAGCTGGCTGATTGCTAATACTCAAACCTACTACAGGTCACCTGAGCGGGTGGGTCCTTTAGCATCGCCCAGTATTGAGTTGGCAAACACAAGGCACATTGGCAGCCAATGTCTGTCTCCAAAACCAGGGCAGACATTACCAACCGGTTAGACTGACGCTGCAGCCTTTTCCACACAGGCCTCTGGGAAGCCTCTACTGTCCAGTGGAGTTGGCCCAGGTGAACCCTACTTTCCACCCACAACCTACTCCAGCTTCTGCTTCATACGTGCGGCCCAAGAGGGGCTGGGATCCATTTGAGGTCACATGGTAAATCAGGAGTAAAGTGCTCCCCCAGGCCGGCACTCTTCAAGTGGTGCCCCTGCCCCCTGGCCAGTCCACACCTGCCTCTTGGCTCTCCATACCTGCTGCTTCCACTCAGGGCTGATGCTCCGGCAGTACTTCCACACCATGTTCTTCATACACAACTCCCGCAGAAGCTCGGAGGCCTGTGGGCACAACGCGAGCAACATCAGGCACCCAGACAGCTGGCTCCCTTCCCTCCGAGGACTAGGGGCATATGCCCACCACCGGGCTCTGGCCTAAGCGACATCCCCTCAATCTGGACAACCCCTTCCATTCCTGAAGGCGTTTCTCTCAAAACAACTAGCCCTCCATGGCCCAGCCCCAGTTCTACTCCCTTGGGGAGCCCTGACTGCTCCTCTGGCCTCATGCTAATTGGTCCCCTCCCGAGTGCTTTGAAAGTCGCCAAGCCAGCAGGGAGGGCCGCAGACCTCACGCAGGGCAGGGGGTGGTATGGGCCAGGAAGTGTCCAGGACATTCCGGGGCAGCTGCCGCCGCAGGTTGAGCAAAAATGAGGTGCGCACGTGGTCCAGGAAGAAGGCGTTCTCGGGGCAACGGGGTGCATGGCGCAGGATGAAGCCTCGAATGAGCCTGGGGGTGGGGAGCCCAACGGGGATGGGGGTGAGAAGTCTGCAACGGACCCCTACACACGTCCGGTTCCGCACCCCCTCGTGGTGCCCCAGTGCTCACCGCCGGATAGTCTGTGCTGCCCACTTCCTCTTGGCCGCCTTCCTCCGTCCCAGAGTTCCCCGCCACCAGGACTGGATGCAGATGGCTGCAGAGACCACAGATGGCTGACCTCTATCCCCTCACCAGGTGGCCCACCCTAGCCCCAGGCCCTGCCCGCTGAAGACCCAGCGGCCCCCGAACCTGATCGCTTCACCCGGAGGAATTTCTGCCGCCAGTGGAAGCCCCGCCAGGAGGCCTGGATCTTTGTGGCTGTGGGTGAGAAAGAAAGTCAATGGACCAGAGCTCAGGGACCAGCTGGGGCCTGGCTGCCAGAGCTCACTGAGTGGCATGGATGAGCAATGGCTGAAGGAGCTACTGAGTGAGGATAAATAAGAAGGGAGAGTAAGTGGAAGCGAGTAGGAGGCAGCAATGGAATGTGGGAACATGCTCAGCATTTGTACCAAGGGCAGGACAGATGGTGGGGGCAGGGGCTGGGGCTGGTAAGGAGGGGGGCAGCTGAATGTGGGCGAGGCGGACTTCCTGAAAAAGGAGCCCAAATGCGGTGATTTATTTCCTGCCCCCAGAACGGACCCCCTGGGACAGGAAAGGTGGGGCCTCTCTCACCCAGGCTCTGCCTCCGGACCTCCAGCGCATCCTCTGTGGCAAACAGCGTCTTGGGGAAGCGGATGAAGATCTTGGTCCTGGGAGGGCAGCAGTGATCAGCCCCTGGTTGCCATCCCCATGCCCTCTAGACCCCAGGAGTGGGCACCACTCACCTGCCCATCTTATACTCTTCTGGCTTATAGCCGAGGTGCCTGACCAGCACAGCCACCCCATCCTGAGGCCGTCCTGCCCAAGTGGGCCATGTCTCCGGGCACAGCGACTTGTACCTGGGGGGCAGGAGCAGAAATGTACGGGCTCCCACCTCAGCCACCACCCTCCCTGGGGACCCAGACCAGCTTTTCTGGGCACCTGCCGGGAGGTTCCCCTAACGGGCAGCTCACAGAACGCATGGGAGGTGGCTCTGTTGTCCCCCTTATAACAATAAGGCAATTAATATTCTCATCTGCCTAAGGCTACGGGCTGGAAAGTAGCAGAGATGGAATTCACACCTGACTGTGTCCCCAGACCCTAAGTCAGGATAACCACAAAGCGGCTCTCCCCTGTCTGAGCTGATAGAAACTCTGTCCTCATAAGCTTTCAGCATTTCTCCTGGTGACAGATATGTGGATGCCTGCCTCAGGCCACATGCTCTGTGAAGGCAAGGCCTGGGGGGAGGGGTTCTACCAGCTCGGCATTAGGCCTGCAGCATGGAAAGGCCTCAGCAGCTCAGAGCCTCAGCATCCTGGCTTTGCAATGGGGCTGGGAACCCGTCTTCCCTCCCAGGATCTGCCAGGCTCCTACCCTCTGGACCCCTTGTCCTGGCACTGAGCCAGGCCCGCCCCCACCTCTGCAGGAAAGCCTCGTATTTGCGGCGATAGGCAAAGCCGGCTCTGCGCACTCGCAGGTTCTCCATCAGTCCCAGGTACTTCACCTGGTGCCGGATCAGCACCTCATCAAAGCGGCCTGGAGGAGGGGTGACAGGGCAATCAGTGGGCTCGCAGCATGGACAGAGGGCCTGTGGCCCTTGCCCAGAGGCTCAGCCCACGGGCCCATGGGTGGGAGGGCCTACCGGGTTGCTTGGCGTCGTTGGGCTTGATGCAGCGGATGTAGGCGGGCTCCTTGGACTGCAGGATCTCCACCAGCTGCAGGAGGCTCATCTTGAACTGGGTGGCCACCTGGTGAGCCAAGGCAAAGGGGAGGTTGGCTGGAGCTGGGCTGATGCCTCTGACTCCTAGCACAGCCTCACCCTGGAGCAAAATAGCAATTCCCTCAACTACCCACCACCCTGCTGGGGCCCTTCCTCCCTCACAAAGAGGAAGGGGACAGACTAGGCCCACCTGCATCACCACAATGGCTTGACTAGAGACCTCAGTTTAGGAACCTCACTGGGGTCTAAAAACCCTGCTCAGGCCTCAGCACAACCTCAATCCTACACCTTCCTTTGGCAAGCACTCTTCCTCTTCTAGAATTTCAGGGCCACTTTCCTCAACAATGTGTCCTACACCTGTACGTCCGACCATTATCCCTGTACACTGCTATGTAGAACCTTCAAGCAGACTCCAGCAGACTCGCAATCTGTCGTGGCCCCATTAGTAACAGGGGTGTATGCCTGTGGTTCTGGGAGCACCAAGAAGGGGCAACTAATCCCATTTATGGGGGAGCGGGCGGCAGGAAAGGCCTCCTGGACATGCCCCTTCACCTAAGTTTTAAACCAGTGGTTCTCAACCTTGACTGCACATTAGAATCACCTACCAAAAAAGTTTGATGCGATAGTGATGAGTAGAGAGAATTAGAGGGTGACCCGGAGGGCATAAAGCGAAGGGGTCCCGAATCAGGTAGCAAGATTGGCAAAGTTGATTAAAAAAATTTTACACGAACAGAACGGAACAATGTAAGGAGATTTAGCCGATGGGGTCAACTGGCCGGTAGAGTGGGGTGGCTTGTGTGTAGGAAGAATGCGGGGGAGCGTAATAAAGGGTAGTACGTAGATAGGGGACGAACAAAAAGGGCTAGGATTCAGGCGGGTTCTGGGCGAAAGGGGAGGGAGAGATAGAGGGGGGGAGGAGGAATGGCGATGTAGGGTA